AGCCCCCACTCCCACTTGTCTTTTTTCTCATCTTGTTGTTATTCTCTTTTTCATCTGGTCATCTTCATATAACCTGCATCTTATGCTGATACACTTAACTTCTCTTGCAGTTTAATCATCTCTGTAAGTTGTAAATGAAAGCTTTTCACAGGACAGTGAAATTGACATAGGTCCAAGATGATTTGCTAAATTAGCAACAGGAAAGACTAATACTGATTAGTGTATTATGTGTGTATGTGTAGGTAGCACTTAAATGTTTATAGAACCAGCCAACAGCCAGGTGACTTAGGAGGTGAACAGAAAATACTATCATGATTGATTGTAATTTTGCTTTGGACTAGTAAGTTCAGGAATGAATGATTTTCTTTTGAGCAGAGGCTCAAAGCTACCATTGCAGACTTTTGCCTGCTTTGAGTAGACAGCTGTCTCTCACTGACAATGGTTATTTTCATCTCAGCAGTAACTTAACAAATATTGACACCTGCTGGGAGTACAGTTGCTACCTGTGTTAGGCATGCTGATAGGAACAGCTCTCTGAAGCATACTGACCTCTGCTGGGTAGAGGGGTGAAGGGACGTCCTGATGATGGACAGAAGATTTTCTGTCAATATGAATAGGTAGGTGGTTTTAAAATGCATTGTATGTGGTGAAGGTGAGTGGTGTAATGTTCTAAGATAGCTCGCTTTCCAGCCCTGTTTTCACAAAAGTGCACATTATTAGCACTCTCCCCTTCCCCCCCCCCCCCGAGCTTCAGGGTTCTCCATCTGCAGCTAAGAGCACTCTGAGGTTAGCTATTCCTTTCCAGCTTTAAAAAACATCAAAGGAACTGTATCCAGCCTAATCTTGACAACCAAGAGCCCACTCAGGCTTTGGCTGTTAATAGAAAATGGCTTTTGGACAGGAAGATTTGATCCATGTGACAGAACACTTTCAGAGGCTTATGTGAAACTAAACTGGATTTGTACAGAAATCATGCAGTATAATGATGCCTTAGAAAAAAGAAAGCCTAGTAAATTCCTGAGAGTGGCCAGATCTCCAACCTGGAAAAGGCTGCCTTACTAGCAGCCCATTTGTTCACTCTGCTTTGGAGCTAACTGCTTTCATCGGCACCTCCACATTGGTTTCCAAAGGCTGTGAGATGTGGGCAACTGCTTCGACGTGACCTAGGAGACCAAAGAACAAGAAACTCTGGAAGGTGTTCTTATTCATTCCGGTCTTGAATTCCTCTCTCTCTCTTTTGGACTCAAACATTACTATAAACAAACTTACTAACTTTTAAGCCCCAGCAGGTATGATCATTGTGTTACAGCTGGCAGCAAAACTAGTTCTCTTCTCCAGAGGGCCCCCAGAGGTGCTGCCAATGAGTCAGTAGGCCCAGCAGTAGGCCAACAGGGTTGTGCAGAGAAGATCATGGGAAAAACAGGTAGGTTTGCCCCTTCCAGCTACCTGCAGTTCATTGCCTACCTGCTAAGATCCTTACGTGTAGAATCCTCTGAAAGCAAACTTTCCACTGGGGAAAGAGGGAGAGTCTGAGAGGTCAAAGGGTACCTGAACTCATGAAGTCCTCTATGAGTTTCTAACTCCTAGAGAGTGAATGAGTGGATGGGTTGCTACTATTTTTTAATGTGTTTTTAGCCATTCTATAAAGCAGACAGGGTAGTTTTCAAGTGCCATGGACTTTTCATAAAATGTGCTACTGTGTGTAGAAATACAGTGTTCACATTAAAAAGGAGTAAAGAATAAGTAAAAAACAAAATGGAACCAGTTAGTATTGAACATGAGAATTTTGTTCAATGATTTTCTCATGCATGGAAGCCGCCATAATCACTCAGGCTCCTTGCACCGAGTTTTCCTCTGATGCTACAGGTTCTGAGATGGAGGCATTATCATTTTGATGCTAGCATTCATACAGAAGAGATGATTCTCTCAGTACTTTATGTTGCTGTAGTGGTAAAATACCTTCAGCCTTTCATGAACTACTGATATTTTTTTTGTCTTTTGGTACAACAAATTCCACATTCAGAATAAATTATTTCTTGAGTGTTTATTTTATGACAAGTACCATTGGAGGAGCCATCAGATAAGTTACCCATACATTTATGGGAGATACAAAAAGAATCACATATCCAATTCTTTACTGATGCTACAGAAATACTACATAGGACAGCTGTGATGAAGGCAGGTCGGTAAGGAAATGGGACGGCGGGGGAAGGAGGATGCTCTTTGCCACATGAGACAAGCAGGAACAGAAAACCTAAAATCTGTGTTTTCTACTTTTCCAGAGGAATCCAGTAGAGCTCAAGTCAGTTGCTGATCCTAACAAGTGTATAAACATCAAACATTAAGCCCTTCTCATTTCCTTGCTACCATTTTGGGCTCATGACTCATGGTTGGCCTTGATGAAGGTGGCAGAAGAGGGATTTGACCAGTCTGGGGTTTTGTTCTGCTCAGTCCTGAGTGTATCCCACCATCCGTCATTGTCATGGAGATTCAGGGTCCCTGAAAATCTACCAACTCGAAATCTGAATGCTTCTCATCTCAATCTTAGTGTTAGCTTATAAGGACAAGCTTAGGAATCTGTTCCCTATTCCTATGTGATCCCATAGATCACGGACACCTGTGTGAGGACCTTTAATTTTTACTGTATTCTTAGAAGTTGGGTAAGTGCTGTACTAGTGACTTAAAGAGATGGTGGGAGTGGTAACATGTCCTCCCTAAGAAAACCTGAGGTTTTAGGGCAACAAACAGTAGTGAATTTGGAATTTTCCAAGAAACTGTATTCTAAATGGGGAAACTTGGTCTGTATTCTAGAAATGCTGCATATGGGCAAAGACTAAATAAGTCTTTGCAGGTGTTGATTCATTATGAGATATCTGGGTTCGTTGGTGTAAGACAAGAAAGCCAGGAAATTAAATAGTGTCTGTATCATTTGGACTGACCATGTCTTATTTCCAGAACCTGAAGTATTTACCTTGTCTACCTGTTCTGCAGATTGCAAGGAGAGCACAATCCCCACCCACTCCCCCACACACACTACCACCAAAATTGGATAAGGGAAAAAGAGAGGTTCTCTGTGGTGAACATTGGCTCCCCAGAGAAGCACAGTACAAAGCCATGCTGATGGCTGAGTGAACTAGCAGTGAGCTCTGTTACAGCAAGCTGATCCTAGGAACTCTGTGTGTGTTCTTATAAAGGGAATCAGGGCTAGAGGATCTGGAAAGTCCATGGGAATGATTTTTTAGGGCAGAGCAGCCACATCTCTCTTCTCAACTAAAAATTGAGCTTCCCGGCTCAGTCTCCTAACAAGGGCACAGCTTGATGGCCAAAGGCTGTGCCAAATGCTGTAATCTCTTGGCCTGGGTTTGTTAGGCACTGCGTCCTCTAAGTTATAACCCTCCCCCCCCCTTTTTTTTATAGCCCTGATTTAATTTTATTTAATTATTTGAGAAGCCAAGAGGAAGAGAGAAGTCTTCCAACTGCTGGTTCATTCTCCGCATGCTTGCAATAGCTAGGATTAGACTAGGCTGAAACAAAGAGCCTGGGTCCCCTTGTAGGTAACAAGGACTCAATTACTGGAACCATCGGGTAACATTAAGGCTATTTCCTAGGGCTAAGGGTATGCGTTAACAAGAAGCTGGTTTGGCAGTAGAGTCAAGACTTGCACTCAACATTCTGATATGGGCATTACAAGCGTGTGTTAACTGTTACACCAAATGCTCACCCCTAAATCATGGGGGTTTTTTGCATATTTTGAATATGGGAAGGTTGGTGGGTTCTTACTTGTCTGCTGCATCTCAACTTTATATGTAGTCAAAAACAGTTGTCTCTTAGTTGCTTAAAGCTCATGATCTGAGAACAGGACCAAGCCTACCCTTTGGACAAAGGAGGAAGTCAGGCCAAGCATGGGGAATGGAGGTTCTCAGGAATGGGGGGAGGAGTGCCATGAAAATTACCTGCATGCTTCCACTTCATTTAGAAATCTCATTGCCTAGAAATGTCATGGTGCTCCATAGTGGAGAGAGTGAGTGAAAAACTGTCTCTGGAGACTGTAAAATGGACTAAGGGCATCTTATGCCTCACTGCTAGGAGGTAGTTTGAGGTTAGAAGAAATATAAGCTGGGGTCCAAAATCGACATGTGGATGTTGGTTGCTTTTTTCTGTTAACATGGGTTCTTTGGCCTTAAACAAAAAGGAGTCACATAGAAGTGACATAGAAGGGGCAAGGGGAGTGATTTGGAAGTTATAGCCAGCAGAGGATGGTTTGGTGGAGCAGTTCACATACAGGTTCTGAAGTCCCCAAGACTTCATTAAGATAGGAAGAATGCCAGCTAATTTCAGTGTGATGAAATGCATCAAGTGGGACTCAATTCATTACTCTCAACAAGGCCACGTAAGCTTATTAAAAACCTTGGGCATCAGTTAGGCAGTGTGGTGCCAGCTTTTCTTTCTTAAGCTGATGATAAACTGTATGATGGCTAATGTTTCCTTGGGGTTTTGTATGTGTCCAGGGGATTTGTCCACTGCTGTGTGGGCCTTGGCTTCAAAGCCCTGATCACCACAGCCCTTGGTCTGCAAGTAATCTGACAGTTGCAGTAGCGAAAAACAAACCATCAGAACCACACACTGACTTCCTCTTAGCTTAGTGGACTCCCTGAACACATGGTGATGGTTGGCAAAAAAGATTCAGAAGCTAGGATATCCCTAGCTTTGTTCCATTTGGGAAGGAAGAATCGAGGCCAAGCACAGAACTGGCAGGTTGGCTGTCTGTCCTTTCACTTGACTGATTGCTTCAGAACTATGGTGTCAGTTTCTATTTTCGGAGTGTTTCAGGAAGGGAAGATGCCTCCTCCCTCTTGTTTGTGAGTATGTGCACATCCGAACGACCCAAGGCTTTTCCATCTCTTGTCCGGCTGGCTTTGTGGGTGTCTGTCCACCCTGATGCTTCTGGTGTCCTTGTAGCACCTCCACGACCTTCATTTGTTCTCCTTTCTCCTTGCCAGAGCCAAGCTATGCGCATCGTGCGGACAGTGGGCCAGGCCTTTGAGGTCTGCCACAAGCTGAGCCTGCAGCACACGCAGCAGAATGCAGATGGCCAGGAGGACGGAGAGAGCGAGAGGAACAGCAGCAGCTCTGGGGAGCCAGGTAGGCCGGGTCATCACTGGAGTGCAGGTGGGAAGGCTGGAACTGCCCCATGTGGGACAGCGGCTCATGCTCCAGCTCCAGGCACATAGCTACTTAATGCTGTTTTTTCTTTTTCTATTTATTTCTAGATACTAAATTGTCTCTAAGAAACATGTTACTTTAAAAAAAAACCACAGGAAATTATTTAAACAACTAAATGAAGAAGCACTGAAACTAGATATTAAGGAATACTTTCTAAAGATAGAAATATTCATCTACCACATCTGATACTAAAGAAAATATTGGTTAAAAAAAATACTCCCATAAAACAAATTAGGAAAAAAATTTTGAAATTTACCATGAACCTAAATAGTTTAGTCTTTGAGAATATCTGACTTCTTTAAGTCTAAAAAGCCTTTTATGTGGACAGCATTTCAGTATCTCTGATTTTCAAGTCTTGTGAGAAATCAGGATATACATTTGTGTTTGAGCGTCTCTGTAATTTAATAGTAAATGATGAAAAAGTGAAATAAGAGCAACATAAAGAGACTCTCGGGAACATTAACTGAAAAGCCATTAAAAGCAATGAGACTTTAAACTCAAGGTCCAGTATCACATGCAGATATCTGTGATTTTCTTCCTCTAGCAACAACTGGTCCGAAATCATAGCAGGAAAATCTATTAACATAACAGTAAAAAGACACGAGACCTATGAGTAATCACAATAAAAATGCACGCATTTTATATGAAGAAGATCTTCCATGGAAAGACATGATGCTCTTGGATAGGAAGCCGCAGCATCGCAAGGATACTCATTCTCCCTGTGTTCACATATAAACGTGTTAGTCTAGACTCTTAACATGAAGGGGTACCGTGGTAAGTGATGGCGTTTGACATTTATAGCCAAAGCAGCACTCACAGGAAACTCCAGGTTTCAGACATGATGTATCACGCATGGCAGGTGGACTAGTATCCAGCTGAAAAGTTAGAAAACAACAGAATAAATCTGTTGCGAAGTGACTGGAGGAACTACTCATGTTTGCATTCTAGCTCTACTAGTTACTAGCTGCATGATCTCAGAAAAGTTTCATAATCTACCTGTGCCTTAAATCTTTTGAAAGATAAAAAGACATAAAAAATAATTGTAGTTCTCACGTCCTGGAATTACTATCATAATAATTATTGTCACAAAAAAAAAATGAGATGGGCCAGTACATTTAGAATGCCAACAGTAACTGTGAAATGGAGACTGACATATCCAGATGTGAGGATACAATGCAGTATGCATCTCCACTTCCAGACCAAAATGGACTCCCAATGAAACTGTTTACTATATGTAATAGGATGCTGAAGTTTCTGCCATTGTCCATGCCCACAATAATGGACATATGACTATTTGTGAAGAACTATACTTTAGTAATGATATAGGGGAACTTGGGAGGGGGTAAGGGAAATCCCAGGGGTCTATGGAACTGTATCATAAAATGATAATAAATAAATAAATAAAGATTTTTTTAAAGAATGCCAAGTCTGGTACTTGACATAATAGTACCCAGCAAATATACATTAGTTATTTTTATTCTGAAGTAAGAATTAGTAAGGCTAATAATAGAAAGAAATTCTGAAAAGATGAATGGTGACAGATGAGTATCTTTCCAGATAAGTAAAACTTGACTGTGTTTTGTGTAGGTGGTGCCTAAAAGCAGAATAGAAATAGACTCAGTTGAATATGCTACTTCGGAGCGCACCAAGGGTAGACTTCTTGTGGGAAAACAATGTGGAGATCTAGATTAAGTTTTAAAATTCCCCTGCCTTTTGGTCCCCAAATTATTCTCAAATTCTCTTCCATCAAGTTGTCCTAGAACTGTCCCCATGCATTTATAAATGATACAGACGTAAGGTTATATAAGCAAAGGATGTGTTATAAAACCAAGTGGGTGGTCATAGAAAAGAACGCTTTTGAAAATGTGGTACACGTAGTGGAATGCTGTACAGCTATTGAGAAGAATGGCTTCGGTTTCTGGGAACTGTTAGAAAACCATCTATTAATTTCTAACTGAGGATATGCTGTGCTTAGAGTGATATAAAAATACATGGGTGTAAATGTGTTTAGGTATGTAAATACACACACATATCTACTGCACAAAGAGTATCTCCCGAAGGAAACACAGGAGCGGTAACTGGGGTTCTTCCTGTGAAAAGGAGCAGGTGGCTGGGGGCAGGAAGATTGACTTTTCCCTCTACTTTGATACCTTTAGTGCTTGGAAGGAATGTGAGTCATCAGTTTAGAACTCCTTGACATGATTTTCCTTCTGGAGTTTGGTGATTCTATCATCGTAAGGAATCACCTTACTTCTCTGATGGATTACTCATTGTCACCAAGCAGAGGTGTCTCCTATTAGGGCAAGCGTACCGGTGTTCCTAAGAACTCGTTGCATTTTTCTGGGTGTATGCCCTTGACCAGTTACAATATACAACAGACCATGGACTAGTGGAAATTTAAAACAGTATCTGCTTGTGTGACCTGAAGCTTAGAGATAAGGCAGAGCGTTACAGGTAGACTCCAGCAGGTAATTCATGTGCCTCTGCTGGCCCGTTAGTGGAGAGGTTTTCTTTAAGCCTCACAGGAGCTCCAGAAGGCCAATAAGGAGATGCTGTGCACAGAGAGTGGAAGCCAGTCTACTCTCATCCTGAGTCAGGGTCATGCCCTCAGACCTGCTAGCTGGAGATTGATGTCTTGCCTCCCTGATTCTTCTTTGGCAAAATCCCGTGACCTTGTTGGTGACCTTGTTGGAGAGCCATGGCCTAACCCCATGTCCCTTTCAAACCCACAGTCACACTGAAAGCCGGCATATTCACAGAGTTCTAACCAAAACATAAAGGGCTTCATCGCCTATGAAGTGGGTGGAGTTTGGCCCAGGGAGGGTGCTCACAGGCACAATGTTTAGTGCTGTCATGATGATGGTGGGAGAGGTCAAACTCCTCTCCTCCACGAGCCTCACTGAGATCTCCCACTCAGCCACCACCAGAGGCTGGGATAGCCTTGTCTGGCCTCTGGGAAAGTAGAGCTGCCTGGGGTGCATTTCCTGTAGAGTACAGCTCTCACTCTGCACCTGGAGTGGGTGCTGCCTGCTCCTTGCCCCTGCTGCCCCTGTGGCTGTCAGCGGGTGGGGTGAGTGAAATGTGACTGCTGTGATCCTCTGGATAATTTTCTAGAGGTTTGGTGTGGAATCCAGTGAGAACTGTCTTCTGGAGTTTTCTTTCAACCTCATTTCCCCCACTCCTCTCTTAGCACTCAGCTCTTTCTGTCCCTTCCTGCCCTGCTGAATGCTGTTCTTTCTGTTGCAGGGCCTTGCATTCAGCTCTGTATAGACATTCTCGTTGTCCTTCAGTCCCAGTGCCAAGACCTTTGGCAAATCTGCTTCCCAGTGCCTGCTCTCTCATTCTCTTCCTTTACCCTCCCAGGCAATGTAGCCATCTCCCTCCACCCCCGGATTCTTATATTCTCTTCACCCTCAGCTGGTGCCCTTGACATTTAGCCCATTGTGTGCAGTGTGTATTGTGTGTCGTGTCCTCTGTCTTTTGTGGGAGGGAAAAGACTTCCTCGCATAATAAATATTTGTCAAAGAAACTGGCAGTGGGTGAGGGTGACCAACGGTGCAAGTCTTTAGTCATTGTCAGTAAGAGTTTCTTAAAAGCTTACTCTGTGCCGACTTGAGTATGGAGATGAAGTAAGACAATGCAATGGCAAAATGCTGTTAAACAGCCCTCCTGATGAGAAGTAATGACCCTGGGGATGGGGAGTCAGGAACCATGAGCTGATGGAGCAGATAACTGAAAGGCTGGGCCCAGTATTAACGAGACCAGCATGGTTCCACGTCCTGACCGTACCTCATGGCTTTGAACCTAACACCTGTCAGTTAGGTTTACATCTTTTCATTGCCCTTTTTGGAGGTAATCTTCAAGTACGTGAATATACCTGAGAACTCAGCTGCGTGGCATCTCCCATCTGCCATCTCCCTAGGAGGAATGTCACTGATACTCTTCATGTAGCCTGATCGAGTTGCTTGTAAATCGAAGACATCGCCCAGAGCCCCAAGTGTGTGTCTCTTCAAGGACATCTAGCTGAGTTTGGGAGGTCTCTGTAAGAAAGGAAAGCAGCTGGACTCTTTGGCTGTGTAAATGAGAACAGGGCTTTCACAGCAGAGAGAGAGAGAGAAAAAAAAAATCTTGAAGGGGAGGAAAGATTTCAAGCAGCTCTTGTGATAACGGAAGTTTGTGAAGTCCAGCATGTACAGGTTGGGGCCCCAGTGATGTGTTGGTTTGAGTGCAAAGGCAACCAGCTGGCAAGATTCCCCCTTGCTCAGGGCAGCCAAGTCATGATTCTCTTTCTGTTTTCAAGTGGTTGGATGAGGCCCACCCACTTTAGGGAGGGTGATCCCCTTGGTGCCAAGTCTCCAGATTTAAACGTTAATCTCATAAAAAAAAATACTTCACAGAAACATCTACAGTAACTGCAACTAACTGGATGGCATAGAGGTGTAGCCCAGGAGATATGTAGACGTAACCATCCCAGGCTTGAAAAGGCAGCGTGGGCTGATGGGAGAGTCCAGAGCTGCAGATCAGAGACGCAGCTGAGTATCCAGGTTCAGGTGCCAGAATGACGGGCCTTGAATCCTAACCCTGCCAACCATTGTTGCTGAACCATCCCCCACTGCTTTGATCTGTTTTTGCTGTCAAGTGTTTTGAGAGAACACATGTGAACTAGCCTGGTACTTTGCATGTATTATACTGTCAAGAAGCATTAAGTTCTTTATTAGTTTTCAGTAATTAATATTGGTTGTATTATTACTCTTTATTAGTCTACATAGCTAGTAAGTTTTATGTTCTTATAAATAATAACTTGAATTAACCACTTAGCTAGAATGAGAAGTGGGCAAGCAGATGTTTGAACTACCGTTTCCCAGGTAAATTGTTCACTCGACGCCCTCTAACGGCAGAATGTGGTGCTGCAGCCTTGA